GGAGGAGGAGGAGGAGGAGGAGGAGGAGGATGGGAATCTGCTAACCACCCCCTGACATGCATTTTGTGTTGCAGAAGCCACCCACACCACAATAGGACCAGTCCCGGCAACCCCAGGTGAGCCGTTGCTCAGTCCTTTTCCAGAGGACGGGAGGAGGGAATGGAACTCGGGCCTGGTGACTCTGCTGACATGGCTGAGGAAGAGGAGGGAAAAGGACTGTGGGGTCCCTTGGTGCTCTCTGAGCTTGGTGGTATTCTTGCAGACGTTTCCTGACCCAACTAGGGAACAGCATCAGGGCTAGAAGGAAGGAGGGGGGTTTGTGGAGAGGAGGAAGAGGAGGAGGAAAGATCATGCGGGCTAGAAGAGAGTGGGGTGTGCAGAGAGGAGGAGGAGAACTGTGGGGTCCTTGGTGCTCTCTGAGCTTGGTGGTTTTCATGACCCAACTAGGTAACATTATCAATGCTAGAAGGGAGGAAAGTTTGTGTGGAGAGGCGGAAGAGGGAGAGAAAGAGGCGGAATAGGAGGAGGGGGAGGAGGAAAACAACACCCGTGCTTGGTCCTTTGCTGGAGGAGGGTGGTGGGATGGAAGGGAACTCAGCCTGTCAACTCTGCTGATCTAGCTGGCCTCTCTCTCTCCCTTCCCGACAGGGTCTGAGGATGGCGGCCTGACCCCCTGGTCCCCCTGGACACCCTGTTCCAAGACCTGCAGCGATCCCGACCTCCCCGCCGTCAAAACCCGTCGGCGGTTTTGCCTGGGAGGAAACGGCTGCGCGGGAGACACCGTGCAGGAACGAGAATGCAACTTGCCGCAGTGCACAGGTGAGCAACTCTTGCGTTGGCGGCTTCACTTGTACGCGGAGCCGGGCCCCTTGGGATTGCTACATAATGGCTCGGAAAAGGCTTCCTTGCTTCCCTCTTCCCCCTCAGAGCAGGCTGTGGAAGTTGTGGCAGAAAAGCCACCGTGGTATCACCAGCCGTTTAGCCGACATAATTTCCGGCCGTGAATTTTTGGCTGGGTCAGAATCCAAAGTGCCCATTCTGAGGGGTGCCCACCCTTCCTTTCTTTCCCCAGAGACCCCCGTGTGTGAGGACAAAGATTGCTTCGGCCTGAACTGCACCTGGAACCCCTGGTCCTCCTGGAGCGAGTGTTCCCGCAGCTGTGGGGTCGGGCAGCAGCAGCGTCTGCGCACCTACCACCCTCCCGGCCAAGGTGGGCACTGGTGCCAAGACATCCTGACGGCCAATTTGGAGAGGCGTTTCTGTAACCTGCCAGCTTGTAAAGGTAAGTTTGGGGCCCCGGTCTTCCCCTGGGGAGGAATTCACTGGCAAAGCTACTGCAGAAAAATCACAATCCCACCCCCAGCTTCTATCTGCATCCGCGCATTCCTGTGGCAAGGAGTTCTGCAGATGAATTGTGTGGTGGGGGAAAAGCCATCCCTAGGTACTATGAAAGCTCGTTGGAGGTTGGAAAGAGAGAGACACATAGACAGTCCAGAAGCTGACCAATAACTAACATGTCGGTCGGGGTGGGTCTTCCCTGCCTTGTATCTCTGCTGCAGTGGACGGGGTCTGGTCAAAGTGGAGCCCCTGGTCGTGGTGTGACCGGACCTGTGGGGGTGGGCGCTCCGCCCGCACGAGGACTTGCACCAGCCCACCCCCCAAAAATGGAGGGCGCCACTGCCCTGGCGAGAAGTACCACGTGCGCGTTTGCAACCCTCATCCCTGTGGTACGTGGTGGGAAGGAGTTGCGGTGCTACCAGCTGGATGTAGAGCATAGAATCGTTGGGCTGGAAGGGACCCCTCAAGGTCTTCTAGTCCAACCTCCTGTTCAGGCAGGAGTTCGTCTTATATCCCGGTCAAATGGAACCCCTTCCAGATGGGGGTCTCAATCTGGTCATTCCTGACACTTTTTCCAGACTTCTAATTGTAACGGACACTCTTGTTCTGCAGAGGAGACATGCCCTCCCATGATGCACTGGGTGGGGTGTGCCAACGAGTGTCCCCGGCATTGCTGGGACCTCCAGGAAGGCATCGTGTGCCAGGAGAAAGAAGCCTGCGAGCCTGGATGTCGCTGCCCTGATGGTGAGGAAGCTTTGCCCATTTAGTGACCATTCAAAGTTACAACGGCCCTGAAATTTTTTGGGGGATCAATTGTAGTCATAAGTCAAGGTCTAACTAAGGGTCGTTTGCCTGCTACAGTTATTGGGGGAGAGGTTTTCTCCTTGGTGGTTCCTTGATTAGAGTACTGGCTTTTTTGTTGAATGTTTGTCTGGTGTGAATCCCTGCTTATCCTAGAAGCCATCAAATCAACCATCAATAGATGCATAGAGAGAAATCACATTTACATACCATTGAATGGAATGATTCAATGAAAACTGAAGAAGGAAGCAGAAGATTCAGAATACATCTGCACAACCAGCCAACACACAGATAAGCAGGGATTAATATCAGACAAACTATCAAGCGGAAAACAATGCTCTAATTCAGGAGTGTCAAACTCATGGCCCGCTGGCCGGATGCATCATACACTGACCAAACCCATGCCTTGTTTAGTGAAAGGGGAAGATGTCACAAAACCGGGAATTTGACACCCACGCTCTAATCTAAGAACTAAGAAACTCCAATCCTTTTATAAACTATAAATGGACAATGAACCCCCCTCATTCCTTTGCACTGAGGATATTACCTAGCCACGTAACAACGCAATCGAGGCCAATTCAGGTCTAGATCCAGATTTGTTTTCCTTGTTCACCTGGCTCTCTCCGTTAGGTACGTTGGAGCAAGATGGCACCTGTGTTCCCCTCACCCACTGCGAGTGCACCGATGCCCAAGGACACAGTTGGGCACCAGGCAGCCAGTACGACGTTGGCTGCAATAATTGCACATGTGCCCCTGGAGGGAGGATTCTCTGCACCAACTACACCTGTCCTCCCACCGAGTGCATCTGGAGTCTCTGGTCCAGTTGGTCCCAGTGTAGCGTCACCTGTGGGAATGGCCTGCGCACCCGCTTCAGGTAAGGCTGATGCCAGGGCACTGTGAGCAAAGTTTGCCTCTGGGAGAAGGACCGGAACTTGGGACTCAGGGAGCAGATACCTTCCTCATTGAGGGCCACACCCCAAAAGGCAATAAGACAGGAGCCGTCTCTGTGCGAGTTGATTCCAACACAGCAAGAAGTTCAAGAGACAGGATGTGACCCATCTCTTCTAATCCTCCTTTCTCCAACTGAAAAGTTCTCAGTCCTCGTCAGCTGCTAAGACAGCTGTTAGGAAGAAAACCAGGAAGTCTCCACCCCAAATACACGGTCAAAAATGACTTGTAAATTGGAAAGCGTTTCAGTTGCTGAAATCCTGGCAATTTCACCCTTTGTCTTAATAAATCTTGTTAAAGAAGATTATCGATACTCTTTAACAAGATTTATTTAACATGATTTATTTAACAATAATAAATCTTGTTAAAGAAAACTAGTGGTACTCTTTAACAAGATTTATTTAACAAGATCTATTTAACAATAATAGGAATGCGGTGGCTCAGTGGCTAAAACGCTGAGCTTGTCGATCGAAAGGTTGGCAGTTCAGTGGTTTGAATCTCTAGTGCCACGTAATGGGGTGAACTCTGGTTACTTGTCCCAGCTTCTGTCAACCTAGCAGTTTGAAAGCACGTAAAAAAATGCAAGTAGGAAATAGGGACCACCTTTGATGGGAAGGTAACAGCATTTGGTGTACCTTTGATGATGAGTCATGATCACGCAAATGTCTTCGGACAGCGCTGGCTCTTCAACTTTAAAACGGAGAATAACACCGCCCCCAATAGTCAGGAATGACTAGCGTATAGTATGTGCAAGGGAATCTTTACCTTTACCTTTATTTAACAATGTTAAAGAAGGCTATCGGTAGTCTTTAACAAGATTTATTTAACAAGATTTATTTAACAATACTTTTTAACTGGATTTATTGAGACAAGAGGAGTGAGTTTGCCAGAATTCCAGTAACTGGAACTATTTCCAATTTACAGCCTTGCGCATTACGATGACAAGTCATGAAAATTGTAATTTGTAATTTGACCGAACAGATGTTAGAAACTTCATTTGCAGTGGTCATTAAGTGAACACCATGTCCTTAAGCGAACCCATTGTTCCCTAAAAGGCGCTTTTGCCAAAGAATGGAAATAAATGGTGTTTTTGGGCAAAAGTGATGTAAATTGTGATCCTGTGATTTTGGGACGCAATCTTAAATGTGAGTTGGTTGCTGAGGTCTCAAAATGCGGTCACATGACACTGGGGAAGAGGGCCGCCTATTGGAACCAGGTTTTAAATACATTTTGGGGAGATCTGTTCATAACTTCAAGTGGTTCCTAAGGGACCAGTCCTAAGTCGAGGATTGCCAAAATCTGAGAATTGTAATGGGGAGCTGAAGCCTAGTGCTTGTGCTTCTCTGTGGAGAAAGAGAAGGATGGAAACCAAAGACCCCAGTTGGAGGGAGAATATATAGGGCTGTGATGGTGAACAGATTAAATTATGGGGGTGGGCATGCAAGCGCAGGCGATAGCATGCATGCATGTGTGCTTTTGGCACCCAAGGCGAAAGAGGTTCGCCATCGCTGATTTAGAGGGTGCTGTTGTAGGTGGGACTGCAGAAGCCGTGGGAGAACTGGGCTGGGCCAGCAGTTGTGATGTGGGATTTTCAGGGAGAGCTTAAAAGATGGTTTGCAACCTTCTGTCCCGCACAGGACTCCTACCTCCGGTTCCTGGGCCCCCGACTGCCTGATGGAGCAGGTGCAGACCCACCCCTGTGCCTTGGATTCTTGCCCCCCTCTGTGCGTGCACGAGGGCCGGGAGACCAGCCTGGGCAGCACCTGGCTCCTCGGGGAGTGCCAGCAGTGGTGAGTGACTCTCCCTCCACCCCTTGTCCTCCATGGAAAGCTGGGTAGACATCTCCTAGATCGGAGACCCGCAACCTTTCGGGGACCAGGAACCACTAATGTTGTTTTCACGTGGATCAGAGGGGGCGTGGTTTCATGTGCTGCTTGCATCCCGCGGACTGGGCTTCGTAGGTTTGCATGGGCCAGTTTCTGGCACGCTACAGACCAACGCGGGTCCACAGATTGGGAGTTTGGGACCCCTGACCTAGATGGGAGGACTTTGCATGCAGGGATACCCAGCTTGGGGGGGGGTGTCTTCGGACATGGCTGCAGCTACAGGGAGATGTTCCACAACAAATTCACGGATGTCTTTCTCTCTGTCTCTTCCAGCATTTGTACCCCAGAAGGCATTTATTGCCTAGACATTACCTGCATAGGTAAGTTTACTTTGCTAGGTAGGTAACATCAAGCAAACTTTGAAATCGGGTCTTGTCAGTCAGAAAGCAAACATGTTACAAACAACTCGTTGGGACCCAAGAACCACAAAAGACACGTAGCGTTTATTTCTGAGCAGCTTCCTTTCTCCTTCCTCACCATGAGACAGAATCTTGCCGAATTAAAGCAATGATTTCCAGCACTGTTGATCTACAGATAGTTCTCGTCTTAGAACAAGCAATTTGAAGCTACAACGGCACCCCCCCCCAAAAAAAAAATTGGCTAATGACCATTGTTCACCCTAACGACTGTGGCAGCATCCCCCTGGTCACGGAGCCAAACTTCGGCCGCTTGGCAATTGACTCGTATTTATGACGTGTTGCCATATCTTAGGGGTCATGGGAGTTCCTTTTATGAGCTTCTGACCAGCTATCAATGGGGAAACCAGATGCACTTTAGAACCAAGTCACGGACATAACAATGGAAGGGATTCACTTAACAAGTGTGGCGAGAAAAGTCATAAAATGGGGCAAAACTCACTTAACAACTATCTCACTTAGCAACAGAAATGCTGGGCTCCATTGTGGTCGTAAGTCGAGGACTGCCTGTACCTTCTGGAAAATTGTAGCTTAGTTCATTCTCAGGTGTAGCTGTAACATCCAGCAACTGATCCATCCATCCTTCCTTCCTTCCTTCCTTCCTTCCTTCCTTCCTTCCTTCCTTCCTTCCTTCCTTCTTCTCATCTCTCCTTCCTNGCCAGAATCCAGAAGAATGTCCAGGTGAGTTTGGACCAGTACCATATAAGTGAAAGCTCACCTTTTCTGAATAGTCCTCGATTTACGACTGTTTGATGAGTTCCAGGATCCAATCTGGTTCGGTTGCTGGAACCGGAGGTTTTGTCTTCAGAACGTTCGGACTCAGGCCCATCCTCGGGGAACTTCTCTCTAGCAGAGTGTGCACTGTTCCACATGTGGTATTTAGATGGCGCCCGTTGTTTGTGTGGCTTTTTAGTTGTTGATTGGGGTGTGTGGATGTTTCGCTGTTAAGTGGTTGGCTGTTGTTTGCTTGCGGTGCCCGGTCCTCGCCTTCAAAGTTAAGCTGGTATTAATTCAGCACTCCTGTTGACTGAGGGGCTCGTTTCTCAGGCTTCAAACACTTTCCTGGCTGTTTTTGGGCCTGCTTGGCCAACAATCTTAGTTGCTGCAAAGTTAAATGTGTTAAATGTTCACAACAGGCACTATAAATACCACACATAGAACAGCACACACAAACTCTGCTAGAGGGAGGTTCCCTGAAGATGGACTATGGCATGAGTTCAAATGTTTGGAGGACAAAATTTCCAAATTTCCGAGTCCGAATGTTCAGAAGACAAAATCTGACCAACACAGATTGGATCCTGCAAACATTATCCTGGGACACGTATATTCACCTTTGTTCATGTTTCGTTTAGTGTCCATTTGAAGTTTTAATGGCACCAGAAAAAAAAGAGACTTAGAACCAGTCCTCACACTTATGGCCAATGCAACATCAGCACGAGATCAAAATTCAGATGCTTGGCAACTGACTCATATTTATGACAGGGTCATGCAACCCCGTTTTGTTGACCTCTTGACAAGCAAAGTCAATGGGGAAAGCCCAATTCATTTAACAACCACTTGATTGGCTAAATGACTGCAATGATTCACTTAACAACCGTGGTCGACAAAAGGTCATCAAATCTGGCATGACTCGCCGAATAGCCATCTCGGTTTAGCAATGGAAATTCTGAAAATTGAGGGCAACCCCATATAGCCATGTTTCCCAAGTCAAGATGGGCAGACTTCAATTCCCAGAATTACCCCTGGCCTGGAGAATTCTGGGAGTTGAAGTTCACGCTGCTTAAAATGACCGAGATTGGGAGGCATGTCTAATAGTTTCTTGTGTACAGAAAGCTTTGCTCCCTTGTGTGTCTTTTTCTGAGTGTGAGGAGCCTTCTCATTGTAGGCTAATTGTACGAGCCTTCTCTTGATTTCAGGGGTGGGGCTATGCAAATATCTTTGGTGGGAGGAGCCTGTCANCTGCCCATCTCCACCAAGAGATTGGCGTCATGAAACCATTTCTGTGCCCACCTGTAAATCTCTTCTTAAAGATGGGTGGGGGCACAGCCCCACTTTTGGAGCACGCGGCCTGACCTGGTTTTATGAGGACTAGTGCCAGAATAGCGGAGAGAGCCACGTATGGACCATGGGGAGGCTGGTGTCTCTAAGGGTCGAGGATAATTCGCTGTGGCCAACTCACCACAGCCAACTCAACATAGCCAACTCACCAGGGCCAACTGGTCATGGCCAACTCACCATGGCCAATACATCATGGTCAACTGGCCATGGTCATCTCACCATGGCCAACATACCATGGCCAAAGAGGCTATGGGCAGCACACCATGGCTAACTCACTGCAATCAACTGGTCACAGCCAACTGATCACAACCAACACACCATGGCCAACACACTATGGCCAACACACCATGGCCAACTGGGCATGGCCAACACACCATGGCCAACTCACCATGGCCAACACACCATGGCCAACTCAACGTGGCCAACTCAACGTGGCCAACTCACAGCAATCAATTGGTCACAGCCAACTCACCACAGCCAACACACTATGACCAACACACCGTGGCCAACTCAACGTGGCCAACTGGGCATGGCCAACACACCATGGCCAACTCACCATGGCCAACTCACCATGGCCAACACACCATGGCCAACTGGGCATGGCCAACACACCATGGCCAACACACCATGGCCAACTCAACGTGGCCAACTCAACGTGGCCAATTCACAGAAATCAATTGGTCACAGCCAATTCACCATGGCCAACTCACCACGGCCAACACACCATGGCCAACTCAACATGGCCAACTCACCGTGGCCAAGTCACGCCAATCAATTGGTCACAGCCAACTCACCACGGCCAACTCACCACGGCCAACACACCACGGCCAACACACCATGGCCAACTGGGCATGGCCAACACACTTTGGCCAACTCACCATAGCCAACTCACCATGGGCAACTCACCGTGGCCAACTCACCGTGGCCAACTCACCGTGGCCAACTCACAGCAATCAATTGGTCACAGCCAACTCACCATGGCCAATACACTATGACCAACACACCATGGCCAACTGGGCATGGCCAACACACCATGGCCAACTCACCGTGGCCAACTCACGGCAATCAATTGGACATGGCCAACTCACTATGACCAGCTGACTTCAGCCAAGTCACCACGGCCAACTAGAGTCTGCTAGCTTTCCACGGGACAAAAGCTACATGAATATCAAACAAAAGTGAAATACAGTCATTTGCAAGAAAGGACGCAAAAGGAGGAACCGAATAAAAGGTGAGGGACAAAAATGAAAGCCATTTTTTATTGACTGGAAACCATAAAATTGAATTGTTCAATTGTTCCACAGTGAGTTGGCCGCAGCTAGTTGGCTGCGACGAATTGGTCGTGGCGAGTTGACCACAGCTACCATGTTTCTCTGAAAATAAGACCCTGTCTTATATTTTTTCGTGGCAAAAAAGGAAGTAGGTCTTATTTTCAGGGGGGGAATGTTATCCACTGACTCACCTCACTTGGACTTCCATCACCCCTGGACTCCTTATCACTGTCTTCACTGTCTTCAGGAACTTCTTCTGAGGCCTCCAAGGCTTTCCTGAAGNCACAAAGGGACATGCGTCCAGGTTGGCACTTCTGCGGAGAAGAGGAGGAGGAGGAGGAAGAGGAGGAGGAGGGGGGAGGGATGAGAACTGTGGTGTCCTTGGTGCTCTCTGTGCTGGATAGTTTTCGTGTAGACGTTTCCTGGCCCAACTAGAGAACATCATCAGTGGAGTTTGCAAAGAGAAAGAGGCAGTGATGGTGGTGGAAAAGAAGATATCACCTCCCCCCTCCCCATTCATATCCCTTTCTGGCCCAGGAGTGCCCCTGCGTCCTGAGCGAGGAGGTTCTCCAGGGGTTTCAGAGACATTCGTCTGAGACCCCAGATACGCCTCTGGTCATCCTGACTGCTGATGGCCAACGTGTCTCTGCAGAAGAAGAAGTCGCCCCCAACAGTATCATCTCTGCCGCCTGCAGCAACTGGTGAGTTTCCAACCCCCCCCCCCCAGAAAACAGGGTTCAGGCTTCCTGTCCCTCCAGAGGGGGAGGGAAGATTTCCTGCACCTGAGGCGAAGTTTGGAGAGAATATGATGACAATCCAGATGTCGTGGGCGTATGGCCCCACATTTCTATTGTTCCATGAGGCAATTTGGAAGCGGGGGTCTGTCCCATTTTACGCCAGCTGTTAAGTGAATCCCTGCAGTTTATTGTGGTATGGTCGTTAAGCGAATCTGGCTTCCCTGTTGAGGTTGCTTGTCAGAAGGTCGCAAAAGGGGATCGCGTGAAGCCCCGGGACACTGCGACTGTCATAAGTTTGTGGCAGTTGCGAAGTGTCCAAATTTTGGTCACGGGACCCCGAGACGCTGCGACCATAATACATATGAGTCAGGTGGCGAACCTCTGAATTTTGATCACGTGACCCTGGAGAGACTGCGACGGTCATTAAATGTGAAAAACGGGCCCGAGTCACTTTCTTCAGTGCCGCTGTAGCATTGATAGTCACTAAATGAATGGTCATAGGTTGAGGATGGCCTGTAGCTGTACCCTTCACATTCCCATGTGTGACACCGGTCGTCCTCGACTTACAGGAGTTCATTTCGTGACCATTCAAAATCAGCTCTGAAAAAAAAACGACCATTCCACTCCACCATGTTTACGATTGTCGCTGCATCCCCTGTGATACAAAACTGCCTCACTTAGCAACCGATATTTCGGNTGGGTCGGGAACGTGAGGACCAAGCCTGCCAGCTCCAGCCATGTGCCCGTGAGTCCTGCTCCCCTTTCCCCCATCTCTTCCCTAAAGGTGGGGCGGGGTCTTCCCCAGAAGAGACCATGCAGTCCGTTGTGTGACATGGCA